TGAGATTGTTCTGCAATTGCAGCAGCCCCGTGCCGCAAGTGCTTGAGCTGGTGATGTTTTTCATGCAGCCAGCTTTTTACTGTAAGTACCTATGTATATATGTATAAGTACGTTGTACGTCTGTCTGTATGTATGTATGTCTGTATGCAATTGTAAATGGGATGCTGATGTCACAGCAACATACACGAACGAACGAACGTTTAACTATTGCTATTTTAGCCGATGTTAACTGTTTTCACTTTTGTGTTTTACTTGCTCTTATCAGCATTGATAACGCCCCACAGCGCTTGTACGCGTTCCACTTGTTACCGTGCTTCAAATCACTTTTTTTTTTTCTTTTGCCGTTCGCACTTCACATTATATGTTGAGAACTAAAAAAAAAAATAAAATTGCAAAGATTTATGAAATGCCAGTTCAAAGGCAATTGGAGTTGAGATTTTTGTTCGTGTGCCGCTCTTTTCCTTTATTTGAAACGTACGCGCGCGCGCGCCTCTCTGCTGTCTCTCTGCGTCTGCGTGAGTGTATGTGACGCGTTAACAGCATATATTTGTATGTGTGTGTATGTATGTTTGTGTGTACGCGCCTTTCAACAGAAAAAAGGTGCAGCAGGCGATGCGAGAGCAGAATTGTAAAAAAGAGCAAAAGAGCGCAAAGAATGGACGAACGCGCGACGCTTTGGTAATTTTCTGCAGTGCTCGGGTCGCGCTTAATTGAAGCTTTTGCTTGAAGCGCAAATGTTGTTGTTGCATATATTGTTGCTGTTGTTGTTTTTGTCTGACCCACGCACAGTGGCTTTTTTATACATACATATGTACATATACAAATCTGTTTTGTTTTCCTCTTTGCACCAGTGCAAAAAAAGAATCAAGCAGGCACAGATACAGGCACGCGTATATATGTATGTATGTATGTTTGTGCATGCGTGTTTTTTTTTTTGAGTGGCTCCACTCTTAAAGATGTTAAACTCGTCGCACACACACACACACAGTCATTTATCTTGTATTGGGGTTTACATATGTGTGTGTGTATTTATGCAAAATCAGATGTGTACATGTATTAGCATTTAGCTACAAACACACACACACATACACGCGAAGTCATTGCAATTGAACGAAATCTGGGAATATGAATTTTGTTTTTAATTTTTTGTTTGTTTGCAGTTTTTGTTATTTTCGTAGCTGCTGGGCCGCGTGGGCGCACTTGTATTGCATTTAGATTTGTTTTTTAAGAAGAAGCAGTGCATACATACATACATATGTATGTATGTACAACATGGCCAGCAACACACGCGCAGCGCCTAAATTTATCTGAATGAGTTCACAAACAAACACACACACACACATAACAAACATTGTAACAGATAAAAACATTGATACAGCAGCAAAGCATTCAAAAAATTAAAATCTCTTTTAAGTTTTTGTATGTTTTTAAGTTAACACATTAAATATACAAATCAGCATAAAAAAAAAACAACATACATAAATGTATATGTACATATATAAAATTAACATGAAAAAACACGGCAAAAATAAATAAAACAATTACATATCTACATACAATAAAAGATTTATATATGAGTGGGCACACACTCACACACACGCACGCACGCAAAACAATCGCACAGAGTCCCGCACGTCGAGCTTGCGAAGAGTGTGTGTGTGGGGGGGTGAGCAGAGAGAGAATGTATGACGAGACGAGACGAGGCGAACACGCAGACGCGGCAACGATGACGACAACGAAAAAATCGCGGAAACACTGCGAAACACGCAACGCGCAGAAGCGAGAGAAACTCATCGACTGAATCTGAATCAATACAAAGAACGACAGTAGCTCGCTCGCTGCTGGCCCGAGTGACTCTAGCAACACATAACACGGCTCCGTGTCTGGGCTCTGTTGCTGCTGCCTGTTTGACTGGCTAGCTGGCTGGCTGACTGGCTGACTGGCTGGCTGTGTATTTAGTTTGCGCTAACACAGAAACGATGACAACTACAACCGCACAGCAATATGATCAAGCCCCAAGCCGAATATACACAACATCTCACCAATACTAGCGACAACGAAACGTGCACAAATACACACACGACGCTCTCTTCATTCTTCTTCGTGCGCGCCTGCTGTTGATGGCATATACATACATATATATATACGTATACGTGTGACTAATACAGCGTGTAGTGCCGAATCGAAACCGAACCCAGCCGAACACTGAGCCGAGTTGAGCTGCGCTGTTGCCTTTTGCCGCTCATTTACTTTGCACTCGATTTCGCTCACTTGTTGTTGTTGGTGCGATCAGGGCATAGAAGAACAGCAACAACAACACAACAGACACGCTGCGATTGCCTCGACGTCTGTTTGGGCGAGTGTGTGCGTAGCTGTGTATTTCTGTTTGTGTTTGTAAAGAAAAGCAAAGTACCAGACATCGTCGTCAGTGGCGCTGTGGGGACGGGGTAGAAGCATTTTGCATCTGTACCCAAAACAGGCTAAAGAGTCCACTAAAGCAGGTAGGCCAACAACAGAAACATGTATGCGCATGCATACATACATACAAGCATACACATGTATATATGTATACATGCAATACAGGCTTATTTCAGAATATGGGGCAGGCTTTGATTCGGGTAACACTCTGTTACACGCATTTACAGGATTTACAGACTTTATAATTCATAATCTGTTAAGCTTAACATAATCAGTACTGTTGCACATTTTCCATGTTAAAAAGGGAATATAAAACATAGCTCGAAGTTTTATTACGTGAAAATTTGATTAAAAATCATATACAAATATATGTAAATAAAATATAAGCGTTAATTAACGATCATTTGGCAAATAAATGAATACATATGTACATGGGTAAATTTGATGACTGGGATAAATTCAAATGAAGTGGTAATCATTTGTTAAAATACAATAGAATTAAATGCTGATGCTGGAGAACTTTTCTACAGACAACTAAATATATTCATACAAACATACATACATATGTACAAAACTACAAACACACACATACATACAGACAGCAAAGTTAGCAAGCAAGTTTAACAACTACCAGATATACATACATATGCATGTGTTTGTGTATGTGTGTGTGTGTGTGTGTGTGTATGCCTTTTTCTATGTCTGTTTGTTTGTCTGTATTGCGGCTACTCTCAGACGACACTCACATGTGCTGTGTGCTTTACTTTGTTGTTGTTGTTGCCGCTGCTGCACTGCTGCACGTCGCGACGTCAGCTGTGGAAAGAGAGAGGCTGCTTAATGCAGGTGGCGGTCGGTGGATGGTGAAAGAGAAAAAGGAGTTGACGCCGCTGATGCTATTACTATCGTTGTTGTTGCTGCCGTGCTGGGCAGTTGCTTGGTTAACTGATGATGCAGCAAATAAGCGGATAAGGCGTCTGATCTTGTCGCTCATTGTTAGAAAGGAACAAGTTTTTCTTTCTTCTTTTCAGTATAATCTTTTACCCATTTTCCTAAGCAGCGCCAGCGTTAAACTTTGCATTCGTGTCTGTGTGTGTGTCTTCGTGAAAGAAAAAGAGAGACAATGAGAGAGAGAGTCCAAAAGAGATTGGCAGCGCAAGTTGGGCAGAGAGCACACATGCTGGGCGTAACAACGACTCTCTTTTGGAGCTCAAATAAAAAACAAGAAGACATAAAAAAAAAAGCTTACGCGCGTGTTGCTTGCGCTGGAATGAGATCGCTGCTAAGCTGTGCGCGCTCTTAACAGCAACTCTGTTAAATTAACAGACATTTTTGAAATATTTTCACCATGAGTGTACAGCAGCGGCCAGTAGCAGTAGCAGCAGCAGCAGCAGCAGCCGCAACGGCAACAACAACAACAATAGCAACAACATTAGCAGCTACTGCGCGCCAATTGCTGACGTTGAGTTGCTGTTGTTTACACGCACACATACACACACTTACACTTAGGTTTGTACACTTTTGTACATAAACCTTTATGTATGTATGTATGTATGTATATACATTTCATTAGTACTCGTAAGGTGACTTATTTATTTTTGTCAAAGCGTCACACCTGCTGCGTGTGTTTGCATTCAAGTGTGTGTGTGAGTGTGTGTTTGTGTTTGTTAGCCACTAAATGGTCAATAACAGTTCAAGCTATTTTTTTTTTACCAAATTTCTATTCTCAGCGTAACTGGTTTTGGCTTGATTACATTCACACATACATACATATGTACATATGTACATATGTATATCTATTTATGTATTTATGCGTCTATCTTGCTTGAAAGCTCGTATAGTTTTTTAAGCTGCTATCGATAATGATTTGCAGCTATCGATTAATTTGATATATGTTGAGTTATATGAGATTTTGCCTACTTATGTACATGTGTGTATGTATGCAATTATCATAACTGGACGGATTAAGGCATGTATACAGATGTATATACATACATACATACTATATGTGTGTCTATGTACGTATAGATATGTATGCATTCTCATTTTCAATTTTCAAGTTCTGAAATTTGAAATTTTCTATTTAAAATAGGTTTTTCATTCTATGTACTGTTAATTTAAGTAAGCTTATGTGGTTTGATTATAATAATGAAGTTATGTTGTGGGATCAATCATCGATGTAATGAATGATAATATATCTATTTTGTTTATTTATTATAAATATTATAAGCCTTTATTTATTCTTACTTATTTTGTATTCTATGTTTCTTTTTTTTTTAATTATTCATTTTATTTATTCCTTATAAATATTATAAGCCTTTATTTTTACTTATTTTGTATTCTATGTTCTTTTTTTTTAAACTCTTCATTTTATTTATTTTTATAATATTTTTATTCTAATTTTCATATGTAATTAAATGATGCTTAGATAGCATTAAAAAGTAACAAGCATATACATATGTATTTATATAGTATGTATATCATTTAATGTTTATAATACCCTCTAGAAGGTCATAGAAAACAAATCTATATAAAAACATGATTTTAATTGACCAAAAAACAAAAGAGAACAAGTATATTGAAAATGTGTTTGAATTTATATCCGATTTACAGTGCGTATACGAGACGTGCGCATGTATACGCCTATGTGTGCGTGTGCGTGTGTGTGTGTATGTGTGCATGTATTTGCAAGTAGTTTATCAGCTGCCACAACAATGATGTGCTGTTCTTTATGAACTTAACATTATGTGTGAAAGGCAAAGAAGACGAAGATGATGAAGAAGAAGCAGACGCAGCAGGCAGTGGCAGTGGCAGCGACAGCGACAGCGGCAGCGACTGAGGCAGAGGCAGTGACAGTGGAAATACAATACAAATAACAATAACAATAACGACTATATCAACAGCGACAAGAGCGGGAACAACAACAATAAGAAAACAACAACTATAATAATAATAATAATAACAAGTTGCGTGAGACGTTCAACTAGCATGTGTGTGTGTGTGTGTAGAAATTAATAAGTTCCAGTTAAAGACCAACTGAATCATTTGTTGTCGCACAATCAGACAAGCAAACATAAAACACAGATGAACACAAATACAAACACAAACACTGGAAAGCACACACACACACGCACACACACTAACGAAATATAAAACAGCTGCGAATTTGAAGTCCAAGACTGAATTGGAGTGAAAGAGAATGAGTGCAAGAGAGCGGCCAGGAAGATGGCGAACGGCTGTTCGAGTGCAAATGCGAGTGCGAGCGAGAGGGCCATACAATATAAGACTATGCAGAAATTGAAACCATTTGATCAGTGAGCGACGGATGAGAGAAGGAGGGAGAGAGAGAGAGAGACCCTTTTTATCAACTTAGCGGAGTTGCCTTAGCGACTGCTTAAATGAATTTATGCTTGGGTATGCCCGACTATAAGATACTCTGGGTTGCATATAAATTTCTATGCGCTCTTGGGTATGCTTAACTAGAAGATACCCTGAGTAGCATATGCATTTACGTATGCATTTACTTCGCTTATGTTTGACCAGAATATACCCTAGGCTGTATACAAAATGAAATGCCTTTCAATTGGATATGCACGAGTTAAAGATACCTCGCGTTGCATGAGATTCTTTACTTAGCTCACATGGGATTGCTCTATATGGGATGTGCCCTGCTATAGCATACCCTGCGCTGCATATCAATTGATATTTATCCTTGGGTATGCTCGACTGATGATGTCCTGCTAATGCTTAAGCAAAATAGATTTTCCGCTTATTAGCATATTTACAGGGTATGTCCTGCTAGCATACGCACTGAGCTCAATTTGAATATGCATATGGGTATGCTCAACTAGAAGATACCCTGACTTACATACATTCAAGTATATGATTTGATATGCGCTTCAGTAGAATATGCCCAACTAGCAGATACCCTAGGTAGCATATGAAGATGTTTACTCCTTGAGTATGTCCGACTGGCAGATAGACTCTACTCCCGTCAAGCCAAGAAACACTCTAACATATAGAGAGGGCTATATAGAGTGACGAGGAACGATTCTATTTCTTTTCGTCTGTTTGTCCGTCCGTCCGTCTGCCCTTCTCCGTGGCAAGAATACGCTCCGCTCTGCTTGACAAAATACATTTATTCATCGATGTATGAAGTTTTATGTGCAAATGTACGGAAATAGAAATATGATTGTTACTGCCTGCCCTTCTGCCCTTCAGATCAGATCAGATCAGATCAGATGGTGTAGTATGACGCCCCGGAGACGTTGCCAATCAATTCCTTCATTGCAATTTCCGAATCAACGGAGCCCGTTTTGTTCTGGTTAGGGTACATCTCAGGAGATGATTCGCGATTTTCGTTATCATGGCGGCAGCGTGGTCGCCGCAGCAAACGGGCAGTAGCACGCTCCGGCTTCTCGATGGGCTTGTGCGGATCCTGGTAGCCCAGAAAGACTTCGGTCTTCAGATTGCGATAGAGCGGTACGGGCAGACAGGCCGAGTAGAATATTCGAGTTTTTTCATTGAGTTTCTTTTTCTTTTCGATGGCTTGAATGTGTCGCGATTCCTGCATCAGCTGTTCCGTCTCCGAGTCATCCTCCTCCGCCTGTTGCTCCTCCTCCTGCTCTTCGGAATCGTCCGTTGACGATGTGGGCGTCGGCAGCCCCGGCGGTTCACCCAAAAACGCCTGCTGCAAATACTCAAACGGCTGACGCGTAAAGGACAACATCTCACAGAATACCACATCCTGCATGGTATAGAAATCGTTGAGCACATGCTTCATATAGCTGGCCATCAGGCCAGTGTACGCGTCCGGCCAGTTGGACAGAGAGAAGACGCACCACAGCTGATACGAGTGGACACCGAGCGGCACATGATTCTTCTTCTTCTGCAAATGCTCCAGGCTGCTGAGCAGCATATAGCTCTTGCGATATGCCTCCAATACAGCGGGCTGCTCCCATTGGGGCGGATCGAACGGAGGGCTACGACAGAGCTGGGCACAGCCCCAGATATAGGGCAAGACATTGCGCTCATCGACCACATTGGTGTTGCGCTCGTGACTGATTGTCAGCCGAAAGAACGTGATGAGGCGACGCACCAGTTCCAAGTAGCGCTGGAAGAGCAATAGGACGGCTGCCACAGTATCATTGGCACCCAATATGCCCGCCTTGAACAGGCTGCACATGTAGAACACGAACATCAGCTCATGGCTGGGCCCATAGTCGTACTGCTGCAGGCTGCCAAACGAACGGGTCAGATATTGGGCCAGCTCGTTGATGTGATTGCAATGGGGATACACCTGGCGCTCCACAATCGAGTAGACGCGCTCCTGGACGAGCTTCACCCAGTGCCGGTACGCCCGATGGCATTTCTTGCGCAACGACATTGTCGAGTCCATCTTATTGATCCTGTCGTCGCCGGCGCAGTTCATCAGGCCATGCCCCATGCCCAATGGATGGCACTCGTGAACCAAGCGGTCCAGCCAGTTGAAGATGTGGCACAATTTTTGCATCTGTTTGGTGACCACAAAGTCGGTGCCATCCTGCCGGTGGCCCTGTATGGCCATGCTTGAGTTATTGATGTATGCGATCAGATCGTTGTAGGCCTGCGAACGCTTCCATTTCCCTAGATCTGCGGGCGTACGAATCGGCTTCGAGAAGACCTGTTGAGCGAATGACGTGGCCTTTAGGGCAGCCTCGGTGGGTTCGTCCACATTGTGCACCTGTTTGCTGGTCATCTTAATATCTTAATATCTACTCCTCTATATATATATAAATTTATATATATGTATGTATGTATGTATATGTGCAGTTGAATTGTTATGGAATGTGTTATGGAATGAGTTTTGATACCGAGCACAGAGCCTATTCGGTAGCTTGGCTCGAAAACTTTTGAATTTTGAGATTTTTGCCCCCTCGTTGCCCACAGCTTGCTTAGTGCAAATGAAGTGAATAGCAGTTGACGTAGATTAGTCGAACGGGCTTCGTCTTTTTTGGGCATGTTCTCTACCAAACTTGGCTCAAAGGCCAGCTCTGTTAACTCCCTGTAACTGTAACAGTGGAGCTAAGAGTAACAGCAGCAATAACAGTTGTATTTGTTACTCAATCTCCCTGTCTCTCTCTCTCTCTAAGGTTCGATTCTTTTCTCCTTCCTAACGCACTTTCTATCTCCTTTTCTTTGTATGTTTGCCTTGCTATTCTGTCTCTCCCTATTTTTCAGCCTTTGTCTCGCTCTTTCTATTTTTATAACTATGCCTTTCTTCTTTTTTTCTGCACTCTTGCTATTCCTTATCATTCTCATTCTCTTTAGCCTTTTACTTCTCGTTCTCTCTCTCTCTCTCTCTCTCTCTGGATTTCTTCTACTTGTACTGTTTTTACACCCTCTCTCTCATTTTCTTTCTCATTCTCCTCTCCTCCTTTTACGCTTTCTCCTTTTACTCCCCTTCTTTCTACTACTCCTCTTGCTATTCCTTATCATTCTCATTCTCTTTAGCCTTTTACTTCTCTTCTTTGTACTCCTTCTGTTGATCCTTTTTCTTCTATTCTTCTTTCTAGTCATCTTTCTCCTTCTCTTCCTTATGTTTCTTCCCTGTCTCTGTCCGCTTCTTTCTCTTTCTGGTTCTCTTTCTCCGTCTTCATCTTTTTTTCTTTTCCTCTCTGCCTCTATCACACCACATTGCACTTCCCACCTTCCCCTGCGATTCTCACAAGTTCTAGCTATGCTTTATTTTTTTTTTTTTTGTATTTCTCAAGAAAACATTACCCTTTGAATTAGCTAATTAAATTAAAATGCTTGTTTTTGTATACCTGCCAACTGGAACTGGCCTTTCACTAATTATGATCATAATAAAACTGAAAATAAAGTCATATAAAGTTCATGCAGTCATATATCCCTCTCTTTAGAACCTATATATATTAGGAGTGGTCCTATCGCAATTCGCTCTCTTTCTCTCTGTCTCTCTCATTTTCTTTGTAGTGCCTACAAAAATTGACGTAGCTCTGCCACTCAAAGTTTAGATAGCCTGATTTGAACGACATGGTGCAGTCGCTCACGGGGCCCCATGACAAGATCCAGTGCCAGCTAGCAAGACGTCCAGTAAAGTTGTGCCATGTGCGATTCCTGAGAGTACACACACACACATATACATATATAAACATATATATCTATATATAATCCTATATATTTATATATAATATGAGAAATCCGCTGTGGTTCATCTTTTGGCTGATTGTATTGGTCTTGATCTCGTTCATTGTGGCAATTGTCGGAGCTTTCTTCTACATTTGGGCATATCTGTTGGCCCAATGCTGCAGCTGTTTTCGGGTGAGTCATCGACGAGTCTCTACTGTACTATATCAATAATATTATATTATATATATTCTGCAGAGTGTCGCCGACTTCTTCTTGAAGTGGCTGCAGTTTCCAGGGTATTCGGCGGCCGCCATGCTCAACTGCCAATCGTTGTGCTAGGCTCAATCGAATCGCTTATCGAACCGCAACAAATATCGAAGTATTTGCTTTTCATCGGCCCGCCCCAGTCGAGCTGGGCCAAAACACTTAACGCCCACATCGATGCAAGACAATCAGCCAGCGGCCAATAGATTAGCCATTCAGATAGGTAAAAATAGGCTTCGCATTGTGAACAGGGCACACAGACATGCTAACGATATCTTAACTTTGTTTATGTATATATAGAGAATATAAATATATTATATTGCATGAGTCATCCAAGTAGCCGTCACTTTGATGCGTTTCTGTTGATTGCCTTTCAACAACTTTGTTATCAAATATATTCATATTAAAAAGTTTGTATTATTTAATTAGTCACAAAGTTACTATTATCGTACTTTTTATAGATATATGTCCGTATAAATGTTCAATGCAATTGATATACGCCAAGGTAGCGGCATTCTGTAGTGATTGGTCATATGGATATATGATTTGGGTCTAGAATCTAATCTAGAATATTGAATATAAGAGCTTGAATCTACGAACAAAGATCTGCGATCTTTAACTGTTGATCTACGATCTAGAACTTCGAGTCTTCGATCTGTTGTCAACGCTCAAGAGGAATCTGTTATCTATAGTCTGATGTTTTTTCTTTATTGATATCTAGGATTTATGCTGTAGCATCGTTGGTGGTCTCTGATCTTTGATATCTGATCTCTGATCTTTGATCTCTGATCTCAGATATCTGATCTTTGATGTCTGATCGATGATATATGATCTATGATCTCTGATCTATTATCTATGACCTATGATCTATTATCTATAATCTATGATCTATAACCCACGATCTATGATTTATGATCTATAATCTATGATCTATGATCTATGATATATGTGATATGATCTATCATATGTGATATATGATCTATGATCTATGATATATGTAATACGAACTATGATCTATAATCTCTGATCTCTGATCTTTGATCTCTGATCTCTGCTCTTTGATCTGATCTCTGATCTCTGATCTCTAATCTCTCATCTCTGATCTATGATCTATAATCTATAATCTATAATCCATAATCTATGATATATGATCTATGATCTATGATTTATGATCTATGATCTATTATCTATTATCTATGTTCTATGATCTATGATATATGTGATACGATCTATGATCTATCATTTATGATCTATGATCTATGATATATTATCTATAAGCAATGAGCTGAAGTCTATGATCTATGTATGCTCTGTGATGTTTAATCTATGTTTTATAGTTTTCGATCTATAATGTAAGATATTTAGCATAATGATATATGTACAAATCTCCATGATATATGTTAATTTGTATAAAGAAAATCTGTTGTTGATCAAGTTTACACTATTTAAAAATGTTTTGCTTAACATTAATTCGATTGATTCGTTTTTGTATCGTGTCATTCATCTACTAATCCAATTGAACCAGGGTATCTTCTAGTAAATAACAACTCGAATCGCAATCCAACTTTGTGCACTCTTAACTATGCAGAAAAGATATGATTAATGTCGCCCGGTTAGTTTTCAATGACATCATGAACTTATCACGAATCTGTAATCTATATTTATATATATGTACATATATACATTTATATAAATATCATTTTGAAAAGTCATTAAGCTAATGTTATCAGGCAGTGATAATGTCTCAAGAGCTGCAAGGCTCAACGATTCGTGTAGATGCATAGATATATGTATATATATACAGCGAGCTATTGAGGTAGATTTGCATATACATATACCTATACATATACATATGTGTGTATATAATATAATCTTGATATAGGTGCTGTGTGGATAAGGTGGGTGGGGCGCATGTAAACTATGGATCATTGTGGGATTAGCGATTTTTCTTGTTATTACTTTTTTTTTTTTTTTTGCAAAAAAAAAAAATTTTGAATTTTTTTTTTTTGTTTTGCTTTG